CTCGCGGAGAAGCGACACGTAGCGACACCGCACTCCGGGCCTCCGGCGGCCACCTCCAGCCCCGCGCGGCCAGAGAGACGGGGGTTCCTGGAGCTCTAGCTTCTCCGCCCCCTCCCTGCGGCCCCCGGACGCGCACCCCCTGGACGCCCCGCCACGGCGCGGCCTGAGTTTTCCGCCTCTCGCTCCCACGCCCCGCCTCCTTCGCCAAGGGCGACGGGGAAACCGAGGAGGCGGAGATGCTGGGGGGCGGAGGGGGTGCCGGGGCCCTGCGGCCTGAGCACCGGCAGTCTACGCTTCCTGCACCACCCTCCTCCTGGCCCGAGCGTGCACGATCTCCCCAGAAAGCGAGGATTTGCAAAGAGAGGAGGAAAGAGAGGTGGTGGTCCTGCCGCCCCGCCGGAAAGCGGTGTTTCGGTCTGCCACGACTTTTGAGTTTCTTTCAACGGATAGGCGCGTGCGTGCACATACACGCGCAGTTGTGAACGGCCTTCACGTGTCGGGAGGAAGAATGAATGAGCTGGAAACCTGGGTTTCCAGCTCCCTGGCGGCCCTGGAGAGCAAGGGAGCAGGAGCGCAGAGTGACGGACGCTCCCTCGGGGACCAGCGCGGGTCCGAGTGCGTAGGCTGGACGAGCCCTCCGGCCGCAACCCCGCTCTGGTGACAGGGGCGCAGCGCGCGTGCGCGCCAAGTCCGCCAGCGGAGAGGCGGCGGCGCCGCACCCGGGTCTGTAGCCAGGCAGAGCCCAGAAGTCCCATCTGCGGGAAAGGTGGAGGATTTTCACGGTGCAGTACCAGGAAGGCCTTGCATCTTCTGTAACAGGACTCAGGGAGCTTAAGAGCCGGCTCTCCCTTCTCCTCTCAAAACTGACTGACTGTTGCCCCCACCTGGAAGATATTGAAAGCTATTCATGCAGAATATAAACTGTAGACTTCTCCCGTCTTTTCCCTTAATTTCATATTAAAAATAATTTATTTTAGACTATGTGAATCTGGAAATGTGTATTAACATTCCCAGAAAAGTTGTTTAAAAAGCAGTAATTTTTCTCCCAGGCCTCCAATCCAAATACATTTCGAAATTAGAAGCAGAAACGAAAGTGTGTGGATTGACTGAAGATTTTATACTGTGAAACAGTGACTTTTAATTACCTGACAAAATAGTGCGCAGACACGAAGCTGACAAGACTTTCTTCCTTTGGTTACAAATATATACTACATTTATCAGCAAATTATTTTGAATTAAGCTGTTTGATATTGTTGGAAATCACTGAAATGAGCATACTCGATCACATTAGATGAAAAAGAATAGGTCCTCTCTGATTTTGTAACTGAGAACACGAATTGCAATTGTATGTTGCAGATGGGTTAGACGACTTTAAGAAAAAAAAAAGCCAACTATAGAGGAGGATCTATTAAGAATGCATTTTATATGAAAACAGCCTTTATTCCATCTTCTGAAATTTGGAATAAGACAGTTTTCATGCCTAAGAACTACGAAGCTACTGAGGTAACTGGTATGCCTCATGTATTTATGCAAGCTGTCTGCATGATATCCTGACACTATTCTATTAACTGAACTTGAATGAAGCATTTGTGACTATCATAAGAGTGAAGTAATTTACTGGCCATTGATAAATGGTATGGCTCCAATTTAGGAATTGCAATATGCTGTGTCTTATCTAGCATTGTCTTAATAAAAAGAAGTATTTATAGAAAAAGCTACTTTTATGAAACGTGTTTCAAGGGGAAACCACCCCAAGCTCTTTGCCTGGTGCTTCTTCTTCTGAAATACACACCCCATCCAAGCACTAATTTCACATTTTGAATGGAGCTAGGAAAGAAAGAAACTTCTAGGGTGGGTATTTCATGGAATTGTTTTCTAGAGTTTAACAGGACTCCCTAAAGGCTGATCTGCAATATGCAGAAGCAGTATAACCTGTCCCATTCAGGAAGCAGGTAACTCATTGTTATAATTATTAAAACTGAGCTGTTTTCAGATTTTGTTCTCAGTTTCTTTTGAAATGTTTTCAGGTTCCTAGTGCTAAGAATTTCAGAGAATTGGATTTAATTTATTTATACTTCCAATAAGTAACTTGTGTTACTATTCTATTCATTTGTAGCCTTATTCCTTCTCTCCAGCACTCAAATTCTGTTTGCAGTCATAACGGTCTCACTGCACACCTACACATATACAGTGTGTGTACATAGGTGTCTGTGTCTCTAAATGTATTTGTGCATGCAACAGAACTTAGCTTTATGGCTGTAGCCATGTGTGTATGTATGCACAAAACATATGTTTGTTATTTCACTCCCTTAAATTGGCAACCCAAAGTCTGTCTAATGTTACTTCAGGACCAGATTGCTTTTTATAGAGTTTATTTATGTTCCACAGAAGAAGGTCCGCCAATGACATAAACAAATTATTCCTCACACATGAGAAAGACATCTTTGGGTCTCCTCAGTCACAATATAAACCACATTTTGCTTCTTCCCTGGATTGCAGGTGTAAGCTTCTTGTAAAGAGAAAGTTGAGCTAGAATACTTGAAAATCAAATAGGTATAATTAATGACTCAGTACCTAACTAAACACAGTTTTTTTTTCTTGGATGACTTTGTTTATTGCTAATTGCACTTCCTTATCAGGAATTGAGTGTCAGGATGAGGACATTTGTCTGGTTTTCGAGCATCTAGGTCCTTCTCCCAAGCCCCAGCCTGCAGAGGTGATTCGATCATTCCCTGTGGGAAGTCCTGGCACACCAGCACCTTGGACAACGCAGCAATTTAGGAAGTAATTACAGGAATGATCAGGGAGTTGTTGGAGGAGTCCTGGAGAGCTGGTGCTTTTTTCTCCCTCCCCGTGGAAATGTTCATTCTTTTGGAACAGTTCCACACAAAGCTGGACAATCTCAACTCATGAGTGTGAAGGCTCAACAAAGTCACTACAAAAAGCCAGCTCCAGTCTGTCCTGCACACCTACTCAGGAGCTCACCATCTGTAGGGCCTAAGTTCTGGGCACACTGGCTGGCACTATCATTATGCCCCTAGAGTCTCAATTTGAAGGGAAGAAACTGATCCTACAGGTGTTGGATTCAATGCTCCACCTCTGAATGTAGTTTGATTTAATGCATAATGTCCACATCTAGAAATACTGTTTTGCATCTAAAAACCAGTAACTGGGCCCTCCCTGGTGGTACAGCAGATTAAAGTGCAGCGATGCAAGTGAGCCACACCCTGAGGTAACCCACATGGCGCAGCAGACCTCTCCTGACCCACCTGCCCACTGCTCCACTCAGCAGTGTACTTTGTCCATCTGCCTGTTCTGCTCCCCACTCTGTCTCTGGTGAAACCTCTCACTGTCCATGCACCTCTGGTCTGTACCCAAGTTCTGTATGCATAAATAAATCTTCAAAAAATAAATAAAGACCAGTAACTACATCTAGGAACCGTGGTTCTGAATATCTTTTTTCCTTAGAAAAAGATATTGGTGAATCACCTAACCTCTTTGAGCCTCAGGCTCCTCACCTGTGAAATAGAAGCAAAAAGAATCAGCCCTGTTTACCTTGTGGGTTGACATGAGGACTTGTATTTTGGAAACTAAAGCTCTATGTGGATCAGCAGGCTTATTCTCATTCAGTCATCCCAGAATGCTCACCTTTCCAGAATGATCTCCCCTGACCACTTTATCCCCAAGCAAAATCTAGCAAAGCTTTTCCCCCTAATACTTGTTATCTGCCCCAACCCTATTTATTGG